GTTCCAGCAAGCAGTAAACCGTAGACATGCCCGAACTCGGTATCTGAGTTGGGGTTTTCGGGTCTTAGTCTTTGGACCCGGGACAAAGCTTGTCTCATGAAGGCCAGCAGCTGCAGCAGCTTGGTTTCCGCAGCCCCGCCATCGCCGAAGGGGGCTGCTGGGCGAACTGCTGTCCACCTCGTGATGAGAATTGGGACGGATGGGTAAACCGTGTGCTAGCCATGTGACAAATGTATATGAAAAATCGAACTAGTCCTCTATTCGTTGAAGATGTAGCACAGCGTTACTTCAGAATTCAGTGGGCGCGAGGAAACTCTATCAAGTTTCAGGTCCGGTCGGTCAGAAGCAGAAAGACAGAAAGGTCAGAAATTTATGTGAGAAATATCGTATGCTGCAAACGTCAGGCACATCGCCTTGCTGCGCAGGTAGTTGCATCGCGCCTGCCAACACCGCTGACGGCTCTGCTCACCAGGGCTGGACTTCGGTCTATGTTTGCCCGGCTGGCTGCCTGATGCTGCCTGCTTGCATTCACTCATTCATTCACCACTCGTTCACTGATTCATGATAATGCGCTCACGATGCTAGAGATGACGACGACGCTGATGGCAATGACGGAAGCCATGCTTCTGATAACGATGATGATGATGATGGTGGTGATGATGATGATGGTGATGACGGTGATATGGCGGAAGGTGATCAGGCTCGCAATGACAGATGGAGATAATAATGACTGAACAGGACAACCGTGAGATTCGTGGTTGGTGTTGCTAGCGGTTATGAAGAAAACGACTCAGTGATGCGGAGGCAGCACATAACGACGAAGGTGCTGCTGCTGGGGATGAAGAACAAGCTGATCAGTGGATGAGTGGCAATGTTGTTCTCTGCTGCTGCAGGCGATGATGACAACCATCAGGGTGGCAGAGGTGATGATGATGCGACGACGACGACGAGGATGAAGATGACGACGGCGACGACGAGGATAATTATGATGATCATGGCGACGATGGTGATGATGATGATGATGATGATGATGATGCTGATGCTGATGCTGATGATGCTGATGATGCTGATGCTGATGATGCTGATGCTGATGATGCTGCTGATGAAGAATGACAAGAAGATGATGATGAGGAGGAGGATGATGATGATGGCGACGGCAGTGTTGATGATGACCCTGACGAGGATGCTGCGAAAGCTGGCGACAAGAGAGGAATGGCAACAAGACCGCTAATTTCAGGAGAGTAGCAAAGATATGAAGTGATGGTGGTGATGATGGTGACAATGGTTCGGCTGGTGGTGAAGACGAGGATATGATGCCGTTATGTCCCTCGCAGATGATGCACAGTGCTGCTGCTCTGCCCGGACCTCAAATCGCAGGACCTGGTCGCGGAGTGCAATCTCTTGCGCGCGCAACTCCTCCGAATGGGACACAGAAAGATTTGGGCAACATCTTTACATACTCACATAAAGCCCAGTTATAGCTAGCCTGGAACAGATACTGTTCGGAGGCAAAATACAAGCATGCCATTGCAGAAGAGTGAGAGGTATTGAATGATGGCAGACGCTCGGCCGCTGCAGTGAATGCCTGTCTAAGAACCCTCTACACCCTATACAACGTCCTCATTGCCAACGCGGTACTGGGCAGCATCGGAGAAGACCTTCTGCTTCAGCTTCCAGCCGTGTTGGGCTTCGGGAAAACCCGGGAATTCTGAGCATACTGGAACTACATACCGCTTGCAATCCCAACTGAAGGTTGATCCTCTGTGCTGTCCGACCTGCGCCACCACGTGCTTTAAGCTGCCGACGCGAACCTTCCACACTTAAGCAGTTTGGCATGCGAATACCAAGCTCGGCACTTGCCCTCGAATTGTACAGAGATACTGTAGCCCAGGCAACTGCCGAACCTGCACCTCTGCAACAGTGATATAGCAAGAGACAGCGCCCACTGGCCTCTGCTCGGGCACAGTCCTGCTGCAGGCAATACCGGGGAATGCCAAATGCTAGGCTGCGGTGCACTTGAAACGCCTCCTCTGTCTCCCGCAGCGCACGAGCGGAGCGCTGCGCGGCATGCTGCAGCTCGCGAGCCTGGAAAGTCTCGCTTGGGTTCATGACCCTCGCACCATTCTCCCAGCGTCACCCTTGAACCATCTATGCTGTTTGAGTGCACGAAGACTTGCTCGAAACGTATCCGAAGAAGACTGCTCAACACTTTCCAAGCTCTGACCCTCGCAACTCGAAATGCCGATGAAGCCAGCTTCGCAACGCTGTTCATGTTAGGTACAGGCAGACTTCTGTAGAGTTTCAGGCTAGACGACTTGGTGAGGATCTAACAGGAGACTTTCAGCCCTCGGCCTGGGCCAGGAGATCTCCCTCCGCGCACCGAGCGGCGTCTCTCCGGGCCTCCAGAGGCCATCCGGAGGGTTGGGGGGGATCCTCCGAACATCAGCAATGTGACTTCTTCTTCTTCTGCGCCTGAAGCTCCTCTATCCTCTGTCGATGCCGACAGGAAAGCTCCTGACCGAAGACATTTCAACAAGTTTCAGGATTCACCTTCCATGTCTTCAGGACGCGTCACCAGTTTGCAGCCAAAAATGGCAGGACTCGCAGGCCATGTATGCTGGCGTGCCAATGCATTCAAAGGTGCATCCATACGTCTTTGCTGTTCGCTTCGGGCCTAGGCAAGGCATTTGAAAGCCTTGAGTGGACATGTCGAACAAACACACACACACATATATATATATATGTATATATATATATATGATGTAGTGTCTACACCGTGCCGTGGCTTCAGATGCTCGTTGGCTGCTGCGATATTACCCAATTAGATTAGCCCTGCGATATTACCCAATTAGATTAGCCCTTGTACCATCGTTGTTGCACTTGCAAGAGTTCTGACATGTCAATGTAAACGCATGCCGGGAAATGCCAACACATCGGAGATGTGACAGCAGCAAAGCTGTCTTACAAAGCGGTTCTTGCCGGTGCTGCCAAAGCTGCCTTTCATCCGATTCTACCTGCTGCTACAATTTGGCGGTTCTGCCATCGAAAGCACGTAGGTTGCTGGCACGAACCGCTCCGTGGATTTGTCGCGAGCTGTCCCGTTCCTGCAACAGGTTTCTCGACTCAGGGCTGGAGGGAAGAAAAGCTGCATGCTGAAAAACTCACGTAGTGCGCTGCAGACAACTGAGTTGCACATCGGCTTAATAATGGCATTGCTCAACGGCATTACGGCACGACAAGACCTGTTGCTACTTTAAACTGCAGGGGTAGCCTAGCGACGCAGAACGTCGACTGCAGACACAAGAGTGTTCACACGTCTTCCCCGAAGCTCGTGTTTAAGTATCCGTGCGAAACGGATCCCAAAAACTAAGCAGCCGGTGCTCCTGAAACCTATTGAAGCCAGGTCAGGAGCTGCCTTTTTGCGCTGGAGCCCGTCCACCTCGAGACGGAGCTGTCGTATCTCCTTCAAGGAGTTTGCAAATTGGATTGGGCGCAGAAGTCTTCTTGGGTATTCGTGCGCCCTAAAAAAGGCCCGAATCTCTTAAACCCCAACGCCTCAAGCCTGAGCCCTGAACCCCAAGCCGGAAATCCCTTACCCTAAACCCGAAACTTTCTTGAATCCTAAACCCACAGAAAGGGGCAGGAGGCTGGGCCTTAAGTTTGAAGGCATCAGGGCTTTACGGCTTGGAGGGCATACTTTCCATTTCATCCGTCAACATGCAAGAGGCATTAGGCCAAAATTGATCCAATCGGGTCAAGCTACAGATAGCTTTTGCTGGACTTGAAAACAGCTCTTGCCTTCTCCCGCTGGCGCAGAGGCACGAGAACATCATCCAACTCCTGTCGTGGCACATGCTGAACACCAACCATACTTCGGATTGCCTGCACAAGAAAGACTCTTTCGCTTCTGCATAGTCGCTACAAAGACACCCTCGCATACATCTGCTCATGCAACCGTACAAGATCCACTGAAACCGCTGCATGGCAGACTTGTCGGCACGTCTGCGATAGCTTAGTACTCCAGGGGTGGCTACTCGTTGAGGCTCACTGAACACTTGTGGATCAGGCAACAGGAGCTGGTGACTTTTCAAGCTGACACTGAAACTGGAATGAATGAGTGAACATCCGGAAACGGTAGAGCAACCACCAGAAACCTCTAGCAATTCATGTAATATCTTCGTAGCTGACCGAAACACTTGCCACCTGCTGACTTATCAACGGGCCATGCCCGAATCCCCGACTCAACCGGTCTAGCCAAGAAGCACCGAACAACCCAAAGACGCACCGGAGAACTTCAGCTTCAATGGACCCGACTCAGCATTAGCATGGAAATATCTGACATGACTGCATGGCAGTGTCTTGTGACTCGGTTCAGCCGTAGAGGTGGGCGACCGAACGCAGTTTCGCAGCGCCTCATCGGCCCGTTGCTAACTTTTGGCATCTGCACGCTGCAGCCGTATGTGGTGATGGGCAAACAGGGGCGCCCCAATGGCCCTCGCCAATCTGTACAGAGTCCCGCATCCTCAAAGCAACGAGCAAGCTGGCTGCATTCTGGTCTGTTCTATCGGTTCGATGCCATGCAAGGCAGGGTCTGGCAGAGCTTGAGTCTTGGATGGGATGGCACTTCTCTCTACTCATGCTTCGCAACCCCCAGTTCTTACAGCAACGGGCTCTGGCTTTGGGAAAAGCAAGCCTTTCTCAAGTCTTATGACTCAGTACTGCTGCTATCAACACGGGGAGGATTACAAATGTTTTGCTTCAACTCTGTCTACTGCCCTAACTACGGCGGCCAACTACAACCTGGGCGAAGACTGCGATTACTGTTCCTACCACCGCCACTCTCACTCTTCGGCTACTCCAGTACTGAGTGCTATGCTGGGCTGGAATGAACATCTCTCAGCAGCATGGTTATCGTTGTGCTGCGGCTTTCCGCCTTTGCTCGTCTGCCCGGTCTATTCAGTGCCACTTGTCGAGCCCTCACCGCCGTCGCAAGCAGTCCATCAGTCGTTCTTCTTGTCCTGACGGCACGGAAAGCATGGGATATCATGGGATATACAGATACAACTCTTGCAGGCGACTCATCCCAGCTGCGGAATTGAGCAAGAGAGCCTGCGATAAGAGCAGGTCGTTCAAGAACTTTGCTGTCAGTTCAGCTCGTATGTCCCACCCGCTGCACTGCCGAGCATAAAGACTTTCACTCCTGATCCTCGGTCTCGGCAGACTCGGTGAAGTCCTCGTCGAAAGCTCCTTGGGCCACAACTGGTACTGGCAGGAAGAAGACTACTTGGAACCACTGCAGCACCAATCGTACTGGCCAGCAATGACTAATCCGACGGCAAGACAACTAGTGGATCCCCCAGTACCTCAAGAGAGGAAAAAAGCATGGCACAGCGACCACTCGGCATTGCTACAAGATCCGCCTCATCCACCACATCATCAGCAGCAGCACCACCATCATCAGCAGCGTCTCCGAAGCACCTTCAACATCACCTTCACCACTATCATCCTGATCCGCCAGCAACTTCAGCAACCCCGTTGTGGCCATGCCACGGGACTTGTCCACCGGGTAAATATGCCGCTGGTAGAGGTAGAGGAGGAAAACGATGTCATCTCTGAAGCATGACATGCCTCAGACACTTCACATCAGGACAGGGCATTCTGCGCAGCACGGAACTGCCCTGCAATTCAGGACCAGGAGCTCAAGAGCAACACGGCAGCTAGAATCAGAGGCAAAAACACTGCAGTCTACTGATCTCTTCTGATGCACTGTCATCGGATTGGAAAGACATGAAGAAAAGCCGACAGTAAGCATCGGGCGGTGCATAGTCGGCATCTTGATAATGAATGCAAAGAGATCATCCTGAGAACTCAACGTGCATGCGGCATTTATAGGGTTGCAGGCGCTGGCGTCCCAGTTCATGCAGCCGAGACACAATGAAGGTATTGATGGCTCCTCGGCATGACCCCAAATTGCACAGATATCGAATCCACAAAAGAATCCCAATGCGAAGGCCAAACAAGTTACAGATCGCCCCGACCTTCGTGGTGCAGATGCTGACATCACATGTATGCAAATGTCCACGGCCGGCGACCGAGATACATCCCAAACTAACATGCTACATAGACATGAACATGTCAGAACTAAATTTTGAACTCCAACCACAAGCCTCACAGCCGAAGGTGACTGAAGCATGCCGAGGTGCTGTAAATGAAGCGCCTCCAGGGAAGGTGCGCCACGGATTTCATGCGATAGTTGATGAACAACTGCGGCGTCCTGATTTGTTACTGGCTTCACAGAACAGAAAGGTCACGCATGGACTTGAGAGTTTTCGGTTGGGAGTTTCGAGTTGGGCTGTGGACTGCATTATGTTTCAACTACAACAAATGCCTCGGGCGACGCAGAGAGCGAGAGACGCAGCTCAATCGGGAAAGATGACGTCAGGCAAGGGTTGTACGACTGCACAAACCGTAGTTTGTTAAATGGTGTATCCTGTGCATATCTGAATTTTGCACCCACTGATTGCATGAAAAGCCCAGCAGATGAGCATGTTTGTGTGTGTGTGTATGTCTGTGTATGTGTATGTATGTGAAAAATAAACATACATAAATAAATATATGAATAAATAAATAAATATATATATATATATATATTTATTTATTTATTTATATTTATTTATATCATTTATCATTTATCATATATATATATATATGATATATGATATATATATATATATACACTTTTCAATCTGTATATATATATATATATAGACAGGCATTCCTGAACCATGTCAGCCATCTTTATGTTCGTGTTTGCAGAACATCAAGGATAAAAGAGTGCTGTGTTTCCTACACTAGAACATATATGCTCCTGTTCTTTCAAGTGTTGATCACCTCAGCTCCGCAAGATCTCCTGGGAGCAAGGCTCCCGAAGGTCCAAGTCATCGCCGAGGGTCATAAGTGCAAAGCCCAAGGCATACACCAAAGACGCAGCTACGTGCAGCATGTACCTGAGCTTTCTCTGGCTTCAGCTTCCGGGAACGTCTCAACGGTCAAGAATTGGGAGGCTGGTCGGCCGTGACATTGACCACAATCGCTCGAAAAGGTGTGCAACGACTTTGATCCATCAGTTCGTTGCTGTAGTCTTTCAGAGCCAGGTGAAGCCCGTGTACTAGGTGCTTCAGCCGTCGTTGCGCTACGGCACTTGAGATATTGGAATCGGGCCTACTGGCAGGCTGCCGGCTGTGATCGACGTTCTCCTGGGATCCTTGGGTTAATTCCTCGTCGGAGCGACGCTGGGACGGACTTGTGGCACTCGTACTTGGCGGAGTATCCCGCATAGCCGACGACGATGGGAAGCAGGATCTTAGGTCAAATGAATGTCTGAATGCTAGTGCACGGGTAAAGTGTCAGGCAATGCCAGGCAGATCGTCTGTCATCCTGTGCTACGAACGTGCCTATTCTACAGGCTTGAACGGTCCAAAACAAGCACCACTGACCGAGGTTCTCGCGTAAGAAAGATATATTAGAGCCATCTTGTCATAGTCGTCCTTGGTCCAGATGTGACAATGCAGTTCGCTTGTGAAAGCCTGTCAAGAGCGGCCGCATCCCCAGAAACTAGCCAACCTGAACCTAGTCCGTCTGAGAGACCATGTCAACGCCTGATAAGGTCCGCCCTCACAGAGGTCACGACAGGTATCGGACAGGCTCGGATTTAGGGCTCAGGTAATTGGGGGGCTTCATTGCGATGCCAGGCTCCGCGCTGGAGTGGGGCACTCGGCTCTTAAAGGTCGGATAGACCAGGACCCCCTTCCAGGCCAGATTGACCTGAGCAATATCGAAACATGGTACTAGAAGTCTTGCTTCCACTATTATAACTACCAGCCCTATCTCGGCCGCATTCATCAGACACTGCTTGACTTGGACATTTTAGCGCCGTGGGCTTCAGACCTCAGGGCCTGGAGCAGGCAAAAGGCCCCAGACGGTTTCTGGAACCCTCTGGCCTCCAGCACTTGCGTGAGCTTCCAGCAGTCCACGCCGATCTGACCCAGGGACAGGATCAGGATCAGCCAGTTGGACTCTTGGTCATACCTTGGCAGAGGTGCTGGTTCATTCCCTTTTGCATGATACTGTGCTGCGCTGAAAACTAATCGCTGATAAGCAGCAAGTAAATCTATCTATCTATCTGTCTATCTATCTATCGATACATCTATCTATATATTTATTTATCTATACACATGTGTATATACATATTTTCTAGTTATTAGATGGACACACACACATATATATATAATTATATGCATATATGCACCTATATATAAATATACATACATACATACATACATACATACGTACATACATACATACATACATACATACATGCTTATACATGTATAACTGTATAACCCACATTCTTACAACTTGATTTCTGGTTGACACCACCGAAACCGACGGGTACCTGCCGACCAACTTTTTCAAGGCCCCCAATTGACTCCGAGGACTCAGATCCCAAGCGACGCCGCGATCAAACTTGAAGAGAGGACTTCCAAGGCCCCCAACGACAGAGGGTAATTGTTGATGCAGTCAGGTGTCAAGTAGAACCAAAGCACGACGTTGCCTTTGCTAGTCATGTGAGGCATGTTATGCGGTGGAAACTCGCCGAGTCTGATCTGGGTTTGCGGATTTCCTAGTGGACAGGCAGACCTCCAAAGCGAGCAGGTCTGCAATACAGGCAACCCCGTCTTGGAGGTGTCTGTGCCGTCCTTGATTTCCTTCCAAGCCATCTGCTATCATCTGCTAGTTCATGGCCTACCAAACTAGAGCAGAGCCGTTTGCTGCATCGTATGATAGTCTGAATACTACCTTGGGTTAGTGCCGTTGCTCAGAATGCCTTGCGGGCTTCGATCCTTGCTGTCATTGCTGCTCAAGGCAACTTGAGACTTTGGACCGAGACTCCCAAGACTCCAGCACTCTTCCACCGAGGTACAGACGATCTCTAAGCCAACAGCTCGCAGCGAAACAAACCTTTTCAGTGTTTCAGCATCTGTCCGCCGCCAGAACAGCACCTCAGAAGATCAGGCCCCAAGTGCTACAAAGACTTGAGAGCAAACAACAATGAACTTCGGAGCGCACGTGCACCTGACCACATGCAACCAAGCTGCATCGTTTTTCAACGCGAGGTACTCGAAGATCATATGCAGAACAGACACCACCATGGTGGCAATTAGCAGATAGGAATTTGTGTTTGCAAACCTGCGTCCACAAGACTTCAGCAAGATATTCCCGTGGGTTTGGGGATCTCAGGCTTTTAGTCTGTAAAAGCAGAAAGGGGCAGCAGTGTTGCCAAGCGTCAAATCCCGCATCTGGACTATGGCCTCATCATCTTCACCAGAGAAGTACTGCTGCGTCATCTGCTTGATGCTGTGTTCCATCCTTCGAAGTGCACAAAGTTCGACAGCAAAGCTTAAGCTTGCCCAGGTCCGTGATCTCTGAAGGCTGACAACGAACAGTGTTATTATTGCTTTCGTTGGAGAACTCCGCCGGGCGGCGTGTGCTGAAATCGCCATCGGGCTGCGGACATCAGGCCGAAGTGGATCTCCTGAGTCGGAGTCCGGGAGTCTAGGAGCCATGACCGGCTGGGAGTCCGAGCGATTCTGGGGAGCTTGCAGCCAGTGCTATCCACTGCACCGAGTGAGTAATGCAAACATACAAAGTGACAGTTGGGCTTTAGGCCATGGTCACAACACCGTTCCTTCTGCACACAGGAACACATCTAGGTGCTCTAAAGACATTCATCCCAATACATTCGAGAAGGAGGAGCTGTGGTAAAATTATCGTCCCCGCTGGTCTTGAACTTAATGAGCTGGTCGTTGGTCATCCAGAACTCATCCACGTACCTTGGACAGGCTCTTGCGCATCGCTTCCCAGCCGCCTCCCATACCTACTTGAGCCCGAAAGCCTACATGCCCTTCAAAGGCAAGGTCGCATCGTAGGGTAGTAGTGGTCGTACTTCCAAGGCCGTGGATAGTGCGTGCGGTCGTAGACCAGCCGGACCTCGCAGTGACGAGCGCTAGCAGTTAGAGCAAGCACGTAGCGTTTAGAGGCATTCATTCGGGCTGACTACAGGGCACCAGGCCACCAGGCTCCAGCATGATCTGACGGTTGCTGAGACTGCGAATTTCGTCTTGAAAACAGTCTGCGCTGCCCGAGCTTCAAGCCTGCATCTTGGGAATGCCCCGGGCTGTGAGGGGCTCCTTTGAAGAGCCATATTTCCTGCAAGCGCCCAGGATGAAAGTCTCAGGCAGCCACAGGAAGCCCGGACCCGAAGCCTCTCCGTGCTGTCTTCGCAGATCTCTCCTGCAAGCTCAGATAAGCTCAGCTTTCTCTGTGGTAGCGAATTGACTGGGGAATCGTGTAGCACCTCTATTGAAATTGACTGGGATGTGCAGGAGATGCCAAGTACATGAGGAGCCTTTCCTGGTTGAGGGGTAGAGCTACTTCAGGCGCCAGGACCCCCGGGTGCTTCGATGCTCGATGCGGCACCAGTCTGCATCTGGCCGTGTCGAAGACAACCACTGCCAACATCCAGGAACTGCGCAGCAAACAGTCGACAGCATTCGCTTGGCACAGGCGCCTGAAAGCAGCCAATACTTGGTGGTCTCCTCCTTCATCTTGTCGTACCTTTTGGCTGGCAGTCCCTACACAAAGGTTGAGGCTCATCGATCCTCCTAGAACCGACATCCTGAATCAGCTGAAGAATAAACTGGTGCCTGTTGGTGTTCAGATCTCATGCCAGCCAACCAGGTCACCATGTCTGAAGGAGACTCCACAAGGCTTGAGACGACTTCAGAAAGCCTCCTATGCTGAAAACTCTGCATTGCCGCGGTGCTTGACAACACCTCCGTGGGCTTCTGCTATTCTGTCACCTTGCGGCTTATGCAAGATTCTGGAGTTGAGGGAGTCGGCGTGGGGCAGTTGTTTCCATCGCTGAGCTTCTTCGCTTCAGCGGACAATGACAGCCAGTCCACTGATGGTAGTGAGACCCCCTTCCGTGATATGAGGCCTCAGCGTGCTTACCTTCCCTCCATCCCTCCTGCCTTCCAAGTTGTAGTAGTGAGCTAGCCTTCTAGCCTTAAGGGCTTTGAGCCGACCCCAAGAGTGATTAGCCTGACTTGCTTCCCGACAGATGGCGCCTCGCTCCGTCAGAAGGCGGGCAGTCACCCAGACGTTCCTCAGCGCCAGGATACGATGGAAAATATTTCGGAAGCCACATCCTTGCTAGATCTTTTCCATCGGTAAGTGACCGATGAGAGAAGCTGAGGGCCCATCCGCTTCTTGGAAAGCATCTTGTCTGTGACGTTGACGGGAATCGAAGTCGAAGAAGGTTCAAAGTCCTCACAACGAGTATCCGGACCAGAGCACTCATGTTGATGTAGCGGTTATCAATAGCAAGTCTTGTTGGGGGCAAGTCTTGTTGGGGCCAGAACGCTCTGAGGGCGGCTCAAGAGCTTCTGGGCATCACAGTCCGTCCTCATCGTCGTAAGGGAAACGCACGGTCCAGTCGGGCTTTGCATCTCGTGGCACCGTCGGCTGTGACCTGATACAGGCAGCTTCTGCTCATAACGAGTCAAGTCCGACGGTCCAACAGCTGCCAGCAGAAACTGCAGTCTGGCGGCTTGCTCTCCTTGATGAAGACGTTGAGGGTGAGAAACTCTCCGCGTTCTATCCTTTGGTCGCAAATCAGGCCATTTGCAAAGTACTCCCAAAAACGGCCTACCCAGTCATGCGAGCAAAGTTGAACCCTCTGTCCTGTTCTGGTACTTCTGCAGATAGTTGTGATTTGCATCGAAGTCCTGTTCCACGGACTGTTCGTTTCTGAGCAGCGCAGAATTCGTAACAGCTCACGAGTTGCGAAACACTTGCTGATGCAATGTTGCGCATTGCGTTCATGCAATGCATAGCATGGGTACGACCCAGCTCAAATTAAACCCACCAGAAACATCTCATGGTTATACTATGTACGCCTTCTACTACTCGCAGCAGCAACTGCCAGCACAGGTTGTGCTGTGGTCCGGAAAAGTGGGATAGAGCATGCCATAGAGATTCTTGCCGACCTTGTTGCAACATCCACAGAGGGCTGACGTGAATGGAACTTTGCGATTCTGGCGAGGGCATTGAGACATGTCATGGACTACGGACTACAATGCCTCGACAACTCACATGGTATGAACACTGTCGAAAACGACTGCGTGACAGCACCACCAGTTCAAAGGCTAAGCGAGGGTGTCTGCAGGCTGCATGCTGCCACGAAATCTGCACGGGCTGGGCTTCCGGCATACGAAAAATAGCCTCAGCATCAGGGTATGCTCCGTTTTGCAGAATCGGCTAGGCTATGCTTATAAGCATTGCACACCTCGTATACGCAGTGAAGCTGAAACTTCTCTGATTGGCACAACTACTATGAACTGCTCCGAGTTCAGAATCCAAGGAGCCTCTGGGAGGTCCAAAGGACCGAAGTCTATCGATGCATTAATTGTACCTACACCGCTGGATTAGCAGATCTGTCCAGGTAGCCTGCTTTACCAACAGTTCAACACCGAGTCTATGTCTGTCGTGAACATTTTGTGGTCAGCCTAGTAGAGGGACTCGGATCAAAGCAGGCTTCGAATCAGAATTGACGAGAGGCCCAGGATCAGCACAGGTACGATCTCAGCGGCTCCGCCCAGCAAACCCTCGAGAAACGGCAGACGTGTCGGGTTTGCAACCCAATCAGAATACTTCGCATCGGAAGCAGCACCAAGACTGAACATAACAAAAACGTGGGGCAGAAAACAGGCAGCCGCCTTGCCCGCCGGCTTCTTCTTTTCCTTCTTTGCTTTGCTCTTCTCTGGCGAGTCCTCAACAAGGCTGGCTGAGCATGGGATTTTAGCATGTTTCGGAATTCTAGGCTCAGTAGCCCAAATTGATCACGCAGGCTCTCACACCGGAAACAGGGCAGGAGCATCGCAGTCACTGATTCCTACCTCCCATAAGCGGTCCAAAACTCAGTTTCAAGCTCACAACGCAAAGACTTCTGGCCTGGCTTGCAGCTTCAGGCTGCGCATTCACGTCATCATCCTTCTTGCTGTCCTTTGATGGAAACCGCAACTTTGTGGTCCCATGACCTGGTCCCTCCTAGGGCCTGTAGCACAAGCAACAATAAACGGTAACCGCGTTTGCGTGGGTGTGTGTGTGTACATGTTATGAAGTATTCATTTAAGGGTAGCTCAGGGTGAGTCAAATCTAAACAAATCTCGATTCTAGAACAGCCTCCACTTGGCTCCGCCCAAAACTTCGCCCATGCCAGGACATCCCGAAAACTTACAAGACCGCTCTTACACGGAACCTCAAGCAAAGAACACACTAACGGATTAACGTCGGATGTCCGCTACGGGGATCTCAGTTACGTTTACATCGTTCCATGGGCCACATCAGGCCAAGCACGTGAACCGGAGTTTCAGACCGCTTCGCCCGCGGCTGCGGTTGGCCAGACGCCATGCTGCAGAGCTAAGCGGCAGCTGCTTGCTGAATTTCTTCGGCCTCATAGCTGCTTCGGGCGGCTGTGGCTCAAAAGAGTGGCGGTCTGCTCAATATGTCTGACGATCTCTGGGGGGTGTGTTCTAGCGATTGCCTCGCCCGCATCAGTGCAGCTGTTCATTCTCACTCTGCTCAGGATGTGCTGGTGACTCTGACCTCTGTAGGTGCATGTTGCTACTTTGGTCCTCATGCCACAGTAAGGGATACCACGGAACCAAAACTGCTGCATGCAAGAACGTGGAGCGAAGCTCTGGGAAGCGACGCTACGAAGACACGTGCTGCAGTGCAGTGCATCAGATCCGTTGCACTTCAAGCGTGTGACCCTATCCGCTTGGGTTTGCCTGTTGTCAAACAACCACATCAAAGCACAAGAGGGGCAAGCGCAAGCAGTAGCACCAATTCGAGAATAACTCTCCATCCTGAAAGTCTCTGTCCCCAGAGCCGATCCGAAGCCCTGAACCGAACGTCCCAGTCGCAAAGAGGAGCCTCACGCAGGCGAGCAGAGTCCAGGCCCATACCTGAAGTCTGGCAGTTGTTTTGAAAGCACGCGGGCGGCGCGCGCAGGGATGCAGGGATGCGCACACCGGAGCGCCAGCTGGAACTAGTGGTCTTGAATCCACTCTCAAGACCACTCCGAGTCATCTAAGTTGCAGCTTCCTAAGCAGCCTCGTGTTCATGGTTGAGCAAAGGCCTCTGAACCCTCTGCATCAGCTACCACGGAATTTGACAGTGCTGAGAAGGTCGTCTCTGAAATCTTGGACAATTGCCCCAATGCTGCCGTGTAGGGCTTTGGGTGTTAAGCTGTCGGATCCTGATGTTTACCTGACGCAGTTTGGAATAACACCACGACACGCATCAAGAAATTGTCAAAAGCCCGACGAGCCTTTATGTCGAACTCTCCGCACCCAAGACAACCCCCGTCTCACAAGCAGATTTTCTGTCTTGAGGGTCCTACTCCCATAAGCCCAGGTCGCTGCCAGGGCCCTTGCCGTAAGTCTCCGTTGATGAGAGGCTGTCAACAGAGGTGCTTCGCCTCTCACTGGGAGAAGATTCGAGGCCACACAGGATGCTGAAAGGGCTTGCCTTGCGCAGCCCAGGGAGCTCAGGGTATTAAAATCTTGAGGGCTCAGCAGAATTCAGTAAATATCGTAAGATATCACATGTATTACGAGTATTGTCAGATCGTGCGATCGGCCATCTTGCAAGCATGTCCCTCGTTTAAGGCATCCGAATCCAGGCTATTATGCAAACCGGTAACATAAGGCTGTCGAGCTGCTTCGAGAAGGGTCTGCAACCTACATACATATTTTCTTGAGCGGCAGGGATGGCCTCAGAGCACGCGAGGTGGCGGATGCCGATGACAGCCTGGCGGATCCAGACGTTCTCTCTCCCGCTTCCACATCGCACGCTTCAGCCAGAAAAGTAGCATGTTGCGGTTAGACCGCAAGCAAGTCGGGACGCCTTCGATCTTTCCACAGGTGTCAAAAGTCTGGAAACCCAGCTGCCCAGGCAAGTTTTGGTTGCCTTCAGTTATTGCTTCAATTCATAGCGCCTTTCCCATCGCGCAAACTGGCTGCCATCGGAAGCTGGAACCGAATCCAACTAATGCCTGGCATCCCTGGAGCCCACCTGTGTCTTCTGGCGATTGGCTTCCGCGTCAGCTCCTGGAGGAGCGTGCTTCACATGGCAGTTGTCTTCATCATGGCTGCGATTTTGGGCACCACATGTCAGTAGACTGCACGGAGACTGCCTTGGATGTAAAGCTTTGCATGGTGCTGCACTGCTGCACCATGCCCTAACAGCCTAGCAGGAACACAAGACACGTGAAACACTCGCGCCTCGAGAAGCAGAGTGCCTCGCCTGCGCGCACATGCAACTCACACAGGGAGTTGTGACAGCCCAGATTCTTGTCAATTGCAGGAAGAGGTATGCTCTGGTTCTCTTGCATGGCTGTGACACAGTTCGACCGAGGCTTCTGCGACGCATAGTCCAACGAAGAAAACGCATGATGTGAGTCCACGTAGCCCAGGCCTGCCAGAAGCATGGGGCAGAATCCGATTTCATGGATTACTTTCTTGACCCCAAAAAACCCACAAATCAAAACCGCGAAGTAGCCCCTATTGGGCCTCAACGCAGTACAAACTCTGAATTCAGAGGTGCCTTCCAGATCGTCCGCGCTGATTCCCAACCTGCGAGCTCAGTAGGCAGGGCTCTACTCTACTCTCCCCATTTGCACCTGAGCCATGAAAGACTACCCCAAATTCCATAAATCCTTTACAATCCCAATACAGAGTTACCTGAAGCTGGGCATGCAAGCACTACAGTATAAGCCCGAAGCACCGGCTATGCCTACCGACTTGGGTGTCTGGCTCGCTCAGGCCGTGCTCAAAGTCCCTGCGGGACACAAGCCCTCGCCGCCTCGACATAATGGGGAATTAGGTCTATTTCTCTAAGCTTTGCTGCGGAGGCTGGGCTCGAGCGCGAGGAAGGCCTCCGGCAAAAAGATCATGTCGAAACGTTGTTCACAACGCTGTTTATGGCCGGCGATCGTGCAAAAGGAGACCGCCGATGCCTTAAGATGCCTATGAAAAGCTGCCTTGGTAAAAAGGATCATCGCAGCTAGAGCATGACCATCCCTAGAGGATGACGTTCAGAACAACCGTTTGTTGACATATTCTGCGTAAAAAAGTATGATGGGAAAAGTGCTACATCCACATATACTGTAGTCGATGGGAGTATTCCGAAAACTATGTGTCCCCTAAACTTGAACCCCAACTAACCTAAACCCCTCTAAAGCCCCATCAACCTTGGAAAACCAGTGCCAACCTATCGAGCCCAGAAGGCATCCCACATCACTGCATGGGCTTGGCACCCAGCGGCCCAGCAAAGGCCCTTTCCAGACGGCGAGCAGAACCACCGAGCCGCCAGATCACCTCCAAGACGAAGGGCCACAAACGGCGAAGGATTCTTGGGTTCAGTTTACGGCCTTTGGACCATTTATTGGACCCTGGGTTCTGGGTGAGGGTCTGTGAGGGTTGGGGTAAGCACATTTCACTGCGACGACCAGCCATCTGAGTTTGGAAGGGCCCCCAGCACTTCTTTTGGATGCCGTTTTCTCGCGCCATGTTTGCTCGGTTAACTTTGGACAAATACTTCTCGATGATCTTGCAGAGCCTCGAAAGCCGCAAGCCCGCTGCCCGAAAATCGCGGAGAGCGGCTCGTGCGGCTTTCTGGCGGCTCTCAGCCACCTGCAGTCAAGACCAAGGCTGGGGACTTTCTCAGACAATTCAATGCTGTCATGTCCAACGAGATACAAGTACGTGTCACCCCAACAAATGCTGCACGGCCGCCCCGGCCAGCCGATCGGCGACCTCAAAGCTCGTGTCGGCTTCGTCTCTCGTTTCAGAAACAGGTTTAAGTTGGTGTTGAGGGGTGTCGTACATAACCTGGAAATTTGCTCCAGGTGGTGGTCTTCATTTCTCAGGATGAGGACACGATATCATCGTGTAAGTAGCGCGGATCAACCCCAGCTCCAAGACAGGATTTCGAAAGTTCAATGTCTGGCACAAGAAGCGCCTCCTCCACATTCCGGGCGTTCTGGAACTTGTCGCCCAGGAGCAGCACGCAGCCGAGGTACGTCTCCGCAAACACCAGGCTTGGAAGCAAACCAAATTCTTGAGTCATCTGCAGGGATGTGCCACTCACCGAGCTAGCTCAGACACTCACTGAATGATACCACCTTCCAGCCTTTCTTCACCCCTACCTGTTGGTAGACCGTCGTCAGCTGTGCAACCGGCGCGAATCGGTGGGCTGCTACCAGGTTCGTGAAGACCACAGTGCTGGGCTGGACGCCTCTCCTCGGCGCATGCTCTTCAAGTCTTTAGAGCTTCAGGGCCGCAGCTTTCTGATGATGCCACCTGACCTAACCTGCAAAACCAAAGATGCTCCAGAACACTCTATCTCGGTTTGTGGCTCATCCCCTTTACTGTATTTTGGTCCAGTTTGGGGTGCACACAGCGACTCTGAAACTGGAAGCCTCTTCTGGGAGGCAAGCCTGGGCGCAAAAATGGAAACACAAACCAGCCCGACAAGTAATCCAAATGATTCAGCCCGAAATTGCGGCTCCCAAAATGAAAATTCCAGAAGAGTTTGTCGGCGGAAAAATCGGTAAGCAGAACGATCGAATCGATAACCAGAAAGGCTGAAGCGGAAACCACCCATGCTTCAAAAACCAGCCATGATTCGGAAACTAGAACGGCTGTCAAGACGGCTGACCGACTGACTCGGAAACCAACCTTGATTCGGAAACCAGAACGGATGATTCAAAAACGGGACGAATCATTCGGAAACAATTACGGAATGGTTGCCAGGAGCATTGCGGGCCTGGAAGGGCCTGGAAAGGAAAAAATCTCAACGCCTTACTCGATTATACTCGATTGTACCTCGGCCTATTTAGTGATGTCAACGTGGTTGGGTCATGGATGCTCTGTTCTCAGAGCGCATTCAACCATAGACGTCATCGTGGTTGGGCCATGCGTGCTCTCGTCTCGGAACGCATTCGACCATGGACATCTTCATGGTTGGGACATGGATGGTCTATTCTCAAAACGCCTCGACCATCATCATCGATATTATCATGGTTGGGCTATGGATGTTCTCTTCTCAGAACGCCGTCGGCCATGGACGTCATCTTGGCTTTGAGCCCTGGACATCATCATATCATGGTGGGCCATGGATGCTCTATCATAATAACTCGTTAAGCTGTGGACGTTATCACGGTTAACCCGTGGATGCTCTGTGCTCAGAACGCCTTAAATTAAGATCATGGACGTTATCATGGTTGGGCCATGGATGCTCTCTTCTGAGAATGCATTCGACCGTGGACGTCTCGTCACGCATTCGAGCACGGATGTTGCCATGGTTGGGCCATGCATGCTCTCCTCTCAGAATGCGTTGGACCATGGACGTTATCATGGTTAGGCCATGGATGGTCTATTCTCAAAACGCTTCGACCATGGACGTTATCATGGCTTGGCCATGGATGTTCTCTTCTCAGAACACAGTCGACCATGGATGTCATCATGGTTTCCCATGGATGCATTCTTCTCACCACCCCTTGCTTCCAAGCTCCCGCGCCAGTTTCCAAGCTCCAATTTCTGATACACCACATTGCGCGTGTCTCAACACGGGACCCAAATCGGGACCGGACCCGCTGGGTCCCTATGTGGGATACAAGTTGGGTCTGTTGGGACCTGTGCCCTTCTCTACGTCGGGCCGCATTGCCACTTTTAGAATGCTAACTTAAGGGTGAGGGGAGGCCCGGCAGCTGCCATTTTCACCCAGCTAGAGCATTGCAGTCCAGGTGCACATGCATCCGGTGCAGGTGATTATTGAGGGGGGCCGAGCACCACCAACGTCGGCGGTTAGGCACATTTCTTTTGAGGTTCTCGGTCCAGCTTGCAGGCTCTGATTCCGAACACAAAGCCGGCTTCTGATAGACTGCCTTGACTGTAAGTAGTCAATGTACACACTTTAAGGCTCGGCAAGGAAGAGTAATCTTGCCCATAAGCAATATGAGGTTTGGACATCAAACCGCTTTAACAGCTCGGGAAGCCTTGCTTTGGTGCGCACATTGAACCTTGCTGCAGCTGACACGAAACAAGCCAAACAATAAAACTTCTTGGCTGATTGTGTTTTACCGATCTGCAGGAACTGCTCAAATCCGACGAAGAACTAACAAGCAAAGTTCCACCCGGTAGGAGACAAGATGGAAAAGGCCAAAGTCCGACAACTGCAAAGCCCGAGCGGCTCATGCACGAGAACCTGGAAGAAGCATCGAGCCGCCGAAGCGCTGGGAGGCTCTCGGTTCTTGCAGGCGTCGATGGCAGAGCCAAGAATGTGCTCGTTGATTTCCTGCGCGGACTGGCTCTGTCTGTCCAAGAGGCGGAGCCATGGTTAGTGATTTGCTTTGAGATTCTGATGGGTCCGACGTGACGGTCCTATCAACAGCCCAAGTTGGAAGAAGAATGCTTCGACCGCTCCTGGTTCTCCTCGAGCATGAGCTGCACCAGCTGAGCAGCGCCCTCAACGTCACCGAGGTCGGCCAGGGCACAGAGCATGGCAAAGAACATCTCATCGTCGCGAAGATTTTTCTTTTCCTGTAGAGGCTCCCGCTCAGTTTTCAGCTTTAGAGATTGCACATACCACGCAGAAATCAAAACGACATGTTTTGCAGAAGTGCGAAAAGCTGCGACATGGCAAGTCCAAGAGTCAGTCTCAGACCATATCTCCTGCACCCGTTGCTTGTGTTGCAGCAGCCCGAAGCATCTAAGACCAAGTTCCTTGGCTGAGGTTCCCAGATCCGAGGAGACACCTGGTCATTGCTCTTCTAACTACGTTATTCCACAGGGCCACCAGTCAATAATATGTTGACAGGCGAAACGCCAGGACTGCTGGATGAACTGCATCCGGCGTGTCTGCAAGGATCTTGTCGTAGAGTCTTGCACACTCCTCGTACTTCCCCAGACTGAAAAATGTGTGCAAAGCCTGGACGTCGGCGGAGATGGTTGGGAAATTCCGGCGCCTACATAATCTGAGCATCTGCTCCCATCTCTCTTTGGCAGTGAGGAGCGTGTGGTGACCAGCATAGGCTCGCATTACATAGCCACGAGGACTTGAGCCCATAAGGGCCTGGAACTGCGTGAAGGCCATGAGAAGCGGAGACTCCTCTTGGCTCGATGATCCTTTCGCACAGCTTCGGCTTTCCCATGTCGGAACTCTTCGGTGCCACCCTTCCTGAAGCCATGTATCCAGCTGCAGCATACACCGAGAAGACAGGTTCATTCTTTCCACTACGGGGCGCAACGTTAGTCGTGATGTATTCATGTTCGGGAAGACTCGTGGCAAAACTTCTGAGGCGATGGTCTGCAGTGTCCGGGGTTTGGATCCTGACGCTTCGGGATATTACAAGCTGTGTCTTGCCTCGCGAAGTGCTGCCTCCTGCAGCTTTGCCACATCTGCCACCATGTGATGCGCCTGACGTCACAGCAACAGAGACTGAGAGTGGCCAGCACGCTTCATGGCAGCTGCAAGTTGACAAGCCAGCCAATCGGTTATTTTGTGTAACTATAATTACACCAGCGAAGACCCCA